TTATATATCTATATAACATATATCTATATATATATATATGATTTTAAACCTGTATGTTAAAAAGACATCTACATTTCTTGGTTTATTGTAGTAGTACTTTTTAACGTTAGTTGAGATATGCAACTAGCCTATGTGTTCACTAACAGTTGAATAAATAAAACATATGAAATACTGTTTATCAATAAAATTAATGAAATTTTGTCACTGCGGCAACATGAGTTGACCTGGAAATCATAATGTTAATTGAAATAAGCTATGCAATGAAGATAAACACTGAATGATTTTATTCATATGTGGAAAGTTAAAAAAATTGACTCCATAAATATAGAGTAGAACCAAGGATCTGAGAGTCTGGGGAGGGGAGGGGAGAGAGGAAGATGCACACTGGTTAACATATACAAAGAGACAGAGAAAAGGAATGATTCTGAGGTACCATTACACAATAGTGTGATTATAGTTATAATATTGTATCATACAAATCAAAATTAAAAAGAAGATATTGTATTTTCTCATTACAAAGATATGATTACAATTTGAAATGATAGAATGCCTAAACATCTTCAGGTAAACATTTCACAATTTATACATGTGTCCAAATATTATTACTTTGCCCCATAAATAGGTGCAATTGTTATCTTTCCATTAAAAATAAATATGTAAATTTTTAAAAAGTCTGTGATATGAGAAAAGTTGCTTAAATATAGAAAATACCTATTTTTTTAATTTGAAGAAATTAATAGCAGGATTTTAAAGATTAACAGCATAGGCTGAAGAAAAGGAAAAAAATGTTGCCAGAGGGTCAACTAACAAGAGTTCCAAGAAAGCAATACTTGTTTTCCTGTAGGAAAATCTGCTTTTGAATTCCTTATGGGAATTACCAAACTTAAGGATATATTTGTATATATATATATATATATATATATATATATATATATATATATAAAACACATAAATTTACCATTGATTCAAACTTTGAGTTTGTATGATTTCTTGTTGTTGATGATGTTACTGGGGATTGAACCCAGAGGGGTTAACCACTGAACCACATCCCCAACCCTTTTATATTTTATTTATTGAAACAGGATCTCACTAAGTTGCTTTGGGCCCCTCTAAGTTGTTGAGGCTGGCTTTGAACTCAAAATCTTCCTCTCTCAGCCTCCCGAGAGCTAGTGGTATTACAGGTGTGTACCACTGTGCCCAATAATGAGTTTCCCTGATGACTGATCTGGATGTTGTTCTTAAGACAAAATTTATAGTTTGTTTTTGAACATAATAGAAATATTTAAGTTTATTCTATTTTTTTTCAAAAACATAAAAATAGTGCTTGTTTGAAAAATATAAATATCATGATGTTGGAAATCCTATTTATTCTTCATAGCCACTGAACTATGAGAAAAAGAAGTCCTATACCCTCAACATAGAAGGAGCCAATACACACCTGGATTTTCGCTTTTCCCACCTGGGTCCTTTTAAAGATGCAACCATGCTGAAGATCATCGTTGGGGATGTAGATGAACCACCACTATTTTCCATGCCTTCTTATGTTATGGAAGTCTATGAAAATGCGAAGATCGGGACCATCATTGGCACAGTTTTAGCACAAGATCCTGACAGTGCTAACAGTTTAGTAAGGTATGCTGTGATTCAATACTTCTAATATATAAAGATATTTGTTTCCTCTCAAGTGAATTTAAATATGAATTATATAATATTTAAATATTTTATTACCAAGTTGACATTTTTTTCAGAATTAAATTAGAATATTTGTTGGTTCTTTAACTGAGGAACACAGCAGATGTGTTTTTGTACAATTAAGAATATATGTAGCTATCTCCATGCATGTGCTACTGACCACCCAGATTATTCCCACTTGACTGAATAAATATGTGCATAATTGATTGAAAACAATATTGTAGAAATAACTCAAATGAGAGAATCTTTGGTATCCTAGGGGTAGGAAGTATGGATAGAGAGGGAAAGTAAAATATGGGAATAACATTCATCTCAACTTGACTACTGGTCCCTCTGGTCACAAGAGCTCTGTGGCATTATCTAGTGATCTGTCCTTATCTACAATAGGAATATAATACCCACCCCTCAAGATTATTGTACAGATTCATGAATCTATATTCACAAAGCACCAAGTAAAGCATTCCACAACTGGCAGTCACACAACTGAGTTAAGGTGAGTTAAGGTGCCCAGGTGAGTCTGGACACAAACCTAGACATCCCTGAGAAGACTTGTATGGGAATTCTGGCATCTCTACTGACAGTTGAGCAAGATCTGTTCAATCCTGCTGATTCTCAAAATTATAGTATTTAAATATGGAACAATCATGCACATAAATACGTTGATAGAGTTGAATTTTATGGAAACGAAGGACTTAGCACATGTACTGGCACAGTGATGAGTATCTAACTAATTACTAAATAATATTTTATTATCAATATGCCATGCAATAGAGATTATTAAGACTTTCTTATACAATCAGAAAGGACTTCTTTTTTGTCTCATGACAAAATTTTTAAAAAAAATGTGTATAGTGTATATTTACATACTTAGAGACCCTCAAGCCTTTGTTAGTTGAAATCCTTAAACAGGTCTGTCTAATTTGTCCCATAAACTCTTACTTTCACCTTCATTAGTTTTCATTCTTTTTAATAAAAGCCAATAAAATATACCTTATACAATATTTATGGATGCTCTCAATTTTATTTTCTATATGTGTTATTATTTCAGTATTTTAAGTGCATAGCACAAATGAATTGAGAGAAACAATTCTCCGTGAACAAATGTATAGATTTAGTAATCATGTTCCATATCCAAGTGCAATGACAGTATCCTGTCTTGCTAAGAGCAAAAGCTAGATATTGCTTAAAGAAGCAGAGTAGCAAGATATTCAAAATAATATTTTCAAGATCAATTATAGAAATTAATCACTCTAAAGGAATAGATAGAAATCACTATGTCCACTGATCGACTAGAGGAAATTTCATTATGCTTCATCATTCTATAAATTACCATATTTTACTCTTAACTATAGGTATAACTCATTAAAATATACTGAAAGGTAGCACTTTAAAGTATGTGTGTAGGTGAGACTTCCTTTGCTATATACTTCCAATGTCTTGGAAAATAAGATATTCTATTATGTTAGTTTAATTTGAAAATATCTGATAAAAATTGGTCAGATTTCATTTGAAATTTAAATATTCACACAAATGATGCTTTCTATAATTGATAATTAAAGAGTAGAAGTTTTTCCCATTTGTAAAGTGATAGTCAACTACCCATCATTAGTACCTGTATTACAATGATCCTCATGATAAGAAATTACACCTATACACACACAACCACCACCACCACCACCAACAACAACAACACTACTAGTTTGAACTCCAGATAAGACAGAAGCTTAGAAAAAGTTAAGTATGTATTTTAATCAGTTTT